CCTCCCTCCGTCCATCCTTCCCTCCCTCCTTCATCCCTCCCTCCCTCTTTCCCTTCCTCCCTCCTTACCTCCCTTCCTCCCTTCCTTCCTTCCTTCCTTTCTCTCCCTCCATCCTTCCTTCCCTTCTCTTTCCTTTCCTTCCTTCCTCCCTCCCTCCTCCCTCTCCCCTCCTTCCTCCCTCCCTTTCATCCTTCCTCCCTCCCTCCTTCCCTTCCTTCCTTCCTTTCTTCCTTCCCTCCCTCCCTCCTTCCTTTCCTTCTCCTTCCTTTCCTTCCTTGTTCCCTCCCTCCCTCCCTCCTCCCTCCCTCTCTCCCTTCCTTCCTTCCTTCCTTCCTTCCTTCCCACTTAGACTTATATCCTGCTCCCCAGTGCTTTCCCGCCCTCTCTAAGCGGTTTGCAGGGTCAGCCTCTGGGTCCTTCTTTTCCCAACCTCAGAAGGAAGGACGGACGGCTGAGTCAACCTGGAGCCGGTCAGGATCGAACTGCTAACAGCGAGCAGAGTCAGCCTGCAATACTGCATTCTGACCACCGCGCCACCACGGCTCTTAGAAGAAATCTTATAAGTCAGGAGATCAACCACAAAGCAGTTCTGAAATCCTGCAAGGACTTTGCGGGTGACCGTAGCCAAAGCACAACGGCTCCCCGTCTCCTAAGGCAGCCATGGAACGAGAGGGGACTTTCTTCCACTCCAGAACCCAAGAGGGATCGGGCAGGAACTATGACTGCCGGTTGTCGACCTATCTCCACAACTGAGCCCAACATTTCTGTTGCTAAGTCGTTAAGTGAGTTTGGTCTCATTTTACGACCTTCCTCACCAGGGTGTTAAGGGAATCTGGCCTTCCCTGTGGACTCCGCTTGTCAGAAGGTTGCCAAAGGGGACCTTGCGACGTCATAAATATGAGTCAGTGGCCAAACATCCGAATGTAAATCACACGTGACCATGGGGAAAACGGTCACAACTCCCTGTTTTCAGGGCCATCGTAACTTCAAATGGCCACTAAATGAATGTGTCAAGGTTCCGGTAGTTACCCCCATTTAAATCCTGAGTCTCTAGCCAGATTTTCAAACTTAAAGATTTATTAGGAGTAAACATGTCGGCATTGTCTGGGTGTAGCTGACTCTGAGACAGGTTATTCATTGTCACCCTTATTAACCCTGGTTCTCCCCCACTCCCTGAGTGTGTCATAAATCATATTCTCCAATGGGACACATCCATAGCCAAGAGTCATCAATCATGCTCTCCAGTTAGAATTTTGCCCGGCAAAAACTTCAGTCACTTCGAAACTATCTTTGAAACATTTATGGAATGCAAGCTGCTCGCTGCTACCCCTCCCTTTCTGTTGGCAACTCTAGGAAGACCACATAAATATTTTAGGAGTTGACAGAATGGTTGCAAGTCAAGGTGTCAACTCATAAAACATTTTGTATGCACGTTTTATAGTTGCCAACAGAAAGAAGGAGGCAGTTTCAAAGATCAGGCGGCACTGTGGAATCGAAAGTACGTTCCATTCATATTTTCTTCAAAGACTGATTTGATGACCGAAGCTTCTGCCATGCAAAAATCTAATTGGAGAGCATGATTGATGACTCTTGGCTGTGGACGTGTTTCGTTGGATGATACACCCAGAGGGGGTGGGGGGGAAAAGCAGGAACAAGGGTGACAGTGAATTACATATCTCAGAGTCGGTTATGCCCAGGTTAGTGCCGGACGTAGAATGTTACCTCCAAATAAATCCTCTTTAGGTTTGGTAGTGTGGCTCGAGGCTCATGATTTAATTGGAGTAACTGCCGGAACCCTGACACAAGGTATTTGATACTACTGGTGTCTTGATTTTGGCCGCGAACCTTCCAGCAGTCAACCTAAGAGATTCTCTTTCCAAGAGAGCCCAGCCCAGCCCAACTCTGTATTTACAAGGGGGCTCCTCAATGGGGAGGGATGGGTCAGTTAAGAGGGAGGGTCCTTGTTTCCTTTGGACAACAGGGGAGGACCCCCCTCACCACCCAACGGTCGGGGAATGGATCCTTACTTACTATCAGCAAAGATTCGGCCGAGGGACCTTCTCTCCAGCAGGTCTTCCATCTTATCCATGATCCATGGGACGAAGCCCGTCTCGATGTCTGGGGAGTAGCAGAGAAGGCGTCACTGTTGCAAGGTCTCTGTTTGCCAAGGGATGGAGCACAAGGCCCATCGTCCCTGGCTGCTGTGGCCTAGGGCCGCATCATAACCTCCGTTGACCTACAGAGAGCTATTCTCAGGCCACCAAGGAGCTCAACCCTGGGTCAAAACCCGACGATGTCATCCGTGTTATGCTGTAATTTCTATAGTGATGTCACGAATCATGTGGCCTCCATCCCCACCCACCCCATTCACCAATGGTCACATAAGGACAAAGGAGACTCTACAGAATAACATCTGCATTTCCTGCATTGGACGAGGAGGCCACATCCTTCTCCTTCTGTCCTGGCCACTTTTTACAGAGGCCCGACTGAGAAGCGTTTTAACAAACTGCATGCATCCCTGTTTGGTTTGGTGGCCGCAGCGCCTCAGATAGAAAGTCCCTACAGAGAGTGGTGAGGACAACAGAGAAGTTCATAGGAAGCTCGCTTCCCGTTATTCAGGATGCTGCTTATAAACGCTATGGGCTTAGAGCTCAAAGCATTGTTAGAGACTCCGCACCCATTTTTTATCCGCCTCCCTGTAGACGCTCTTAGTGTAAGCCTTTAAAAAGAAACACACACACTTATAGGAATTTGGAAATGAGAAAAATGTCAGAGTATATTCATGAACTGGAACAGAGCTTGGTAACAAGGCCAGCCGATGAATAGGCATAGCAACTAAGTCAGCCAATGAGGACTGTTTGGAAACTGACACTAGAAGTAGCCTAGGTGTGGCTCTACATCAAACTCTGCAGCTCTGAAGCTATGTTGAGCTCTGAGTCTGTCTAAATAAAACTGCTTCTCTTCTCTGCTCAACTAAAGTGAAACTGATGTCTGCTTCTGAGCTCCTGAGTTGCTGTTCTGCTCTGTAACATGTCTGTTTCAGTTTGAGTTGGCTCCATGTTGGAGAAATCTACAACTGGTATTGTAAAATTTACTTTACATGTTAATAAAGAAGTTAAACGAAGCCTCAGCCGTCTGTGTTTACTTTTCTGGGGCTGAATTTACGCTGCGCTACTCCGAACAAAAATGTTGGATTCTGCAAAAAGAAAAGGTTGAAACTGAACGGTCCTTCTGCCTGAGCTAGCATTGAGGATCAAAATGGGATACTAACGCACGAAAGACCTCCAACCCACTTTTCCAAATCTACCATAGGCAGGCAATTCCCAGCACCGAGCGGGGAAACCCACTCTCCCCCCACCACACCCGTCCGGCACCTCTTTCCACCGGATCGTAGAAGTATCCGCTGTCCCGGAGGCTGCCGAAGACGGACGGGATGAGATCGGAGAGGTAGTGCTGGGCGAAAGCTCGAGCGGCAATCTTCTCCGCCGTTTCTTTCTCCTTCTGCAGGATTTCCATCTGTTGCTTTTTACGGCGTTCCTGCAGAGGAAAGGAGACGGATGGTGCAACTGGGGTTCCTTGAGGGGTGTGTCCAGCTGACCCTTCGGCCTTTCCTGCCCAGAGTCAACTGACCGTTGACACTCGTGTCAGAATATTAATGAACTGGCAGAGACATGGGTAACAAGGTCAGCCAACGAGAGCTGAATTGGTGACTGAGACCGGAAGGAGTCTGGGTGTGGTTTAGCTCTGTGCTCTCAGCTCTGAAACTAATCTGCTCTGAGCTACGAAGCTGCTCTCTACTGCTCTCTCTATTGGAAGAACCTACTTTGGTATTGTACATTTACTTGTATGTTATTATGAATATAAAGAAGTGAATGAATCCTGCTGAATCAGTCATCTCTGTGTGTGTTTCCTGGATTTGATTTTCTGCTGCAAACTCTTAACAACTCATGTTTGGCTTGAACTGACATTCCCAGAGTGTTCTTCCCTGTTTCCATGTTTAATGGCTCTCCTCTGTAATTCCCAGATCTTAAAAGAAGGGAATGAGGAGGGGGTGGCATTCAAGACCCCGCCCCAAGGCATCACCCAATCAGCTTCCTACCCATGCTTGCACCGCACAGGAGGAGGAGGAGAATGAGAAGAGGAGGAGGAGGAGAAGAGGAAGAGGAGAAGGAGAAGAGCAACAAGAAGAAGAAACACTGGGTTTCCGGTTTGAGCTTCTTCGGCGACAGACCGAAATCCGCGATCATGCGTGGTTTTGATCTGTGCTTGCCGCTGGAGCGCCCTGAACTGGCTGGTTTTGGGGCTAAGCCACCCCGTAGAGATGGTGAAGAGGAGGGAGACTGCCAGCAGGGTCGAGAAGAGTCGCATCTCTCCTCCCCAGCTGGCCATTACTCCTTTTCCCGAAGCAGTTGCAGCGGTGGTCAGAAATGGCCACCACAAAGAAGAACTTGACTGGAAAAGAATGTGCAGGAGGAAGATAAGAAGAGAAAGTTTTGGCTGACCGGGTCGAACTGAAAAAGCAACAATATAAGGTACCCTGGAATTTGAATTATAAAGAATAATATTGCTCCCAAAGAAGACTTTGAAGTGGCGAATGAGAGAGGGAAGGGAAAGGATTTGGTTTTTATTCCTTTTCTTCTCTATATTGACAACTAAGAGATTTAAGCAAGAAATCAGCAAAAATCCACTTTGACATTAACAGACATTTAAGCGGAAAATAAAATGTCAAATAAAGATTTCTGGATTCTCAAAAACGTTTAAAAGAAAGAAAAAAAAAGAGTAGGATCTGGAAAAATGGAGGAGACCACCTGGAAGTGAAAGGAATTAACAGTGAAATTTTAACAAGATTCCTAAAAGATACATTTTAACTGAAACCTTGTAACAAGATAATAGAACCCCAGGAAGAGAAAGTGGAAAAAAGAAGCAAGAAGAAACAGCTTTGGATTATTTGGATTACTTGGTGATTTTTGGATTTTTGGCTATTGGATCTAAAGGACTAAAATTAATCGGGTGGTTGTTTAAAAGTTTTTAAAATGGTATCACTCTTGGAAGAATTGAGAATGGAACTTAAAAAACAGAAAGAAAATGCACCAGAAGGAAGAGGTTCTTTTCGCTTCGTATTTTGATTTTTAGAAATGGAGATCCTGAACTATGAGGAACAACAAGAAATGCCTGTTGAACAAGAAGGCCGGGACAAAGAAGAAGCCATCTTCAATGACCAAATATTTCTATGCGGGGAAAAGAAAAGAAAGGGGGGAAGAGATTGAAAACTTTAAGATTTGAAAAAACAACCCCCCCAAAAGAATACTTTGAAAAGTAATTACAATATTAGGAAGAAATAGAAGAGAGGATTACAGAAGAGAGAATCAGAATTAGAGAGAGAAGGGTCAAAAAGGGAAGGAGAAGAAGAGGGGAAAGAGGGAAAGGAAAAGAAACTATAAAGGACAGAAACAGGATATAGAGAAATAGGGAAAATGTACAAGGATTAAGGGTATAAGCCTATTTAGAAGACACAGGGATAATGGGTGAAAATTTAATTGAAAGGGGGATTCTGCAAGGGTACATAAGATAGTATTGTTATATTAGAAATAGAAATGAACTTTGAAAATACGAAACAAGTGTGATTAAAATAATAGATAAAATACTCATTGTAATGTAATGGAATGTTTAATAAATGTTAAAGATGTTAAAGATTATAACTAACATTAATGATAGAGCTGAATTGGAATAGAATAAGTATTTTATTTATTATTGTTATATATATATATATATATACTTTCTCTTTAAGAACTTAGTGCATATTTTAAGAATGTATCAAGCAGAATTTGACTGGATGTTACGTGTTATATTGAATGTTGTAATTGTAAAGGCATGAACTGAAGTTTAAACAAGAGTTGAAATGGATAAAAATTAAAAGATGCAAAGGTGTCATACTCCAATCAGTAACTACAGTAACATTTGCTAGACCACTACTCAAATACAGCTCATCAGTCTGAAACCCACATTACGTATCGGATATTAACACAGTGAAGAAAGGCCAGAAATATTTCACAAGAAGAGTTCTCCACTCCTCTACTCGTTGCAGAATACCTTATGCCACCAGACTCGAAATTCTAGACCTAGAAAACCTAGAACTACGCCGCCTTCGGTCCGATCTAAGTATAGTATATAAAATCATACATTGCAATGTCCTACCTGTCAATGAATACTTCAGCTTCAACCATAACAATACAAGAGCAAACAATAGATACAAACTCAAAATTAATCGCACCAAACTTGATTGCAGGAAATATGACTTCAGCCACAGAGTGGTCAATATCTGGAATACTCTACCTGACTTGGTGGTTTCTTCCCCAAACCCCCAAAACTTTTAACCTTAAGACTGTTTACTATTGACCTCACTCCTTTCCTAAGAGGTCTGTAGGGGGCGTGCATAAGCGCACCAACGTGCCTACTGTCCCTATCCTATTGTTTCTTTTATTTTTCTTATATGTACCCATTTCATGTATTCATAACTATGTTTATACTTATACTCGTTATCTTGTAAGCAATTGACAAATCAAAATAAATAAATCAAAATAAATAAATAAAATACAGGGGAAAATTTTGTTTAATGAGAAAAGAAAATATGAAATTGAAACAGAACAGACAAAAGTATAAATATAATGATTAGAAAGATATTGAAACCTGGAAAAAGATATATATATAATTGAATTTAGAAAGGAATGAGATAACTAAGAGTAAGATTGAGAAAACTAAGGGAAAGGAAAAATTATTGAGAAAAATGTTAAAATAGTAATAAGATATGGAATAGAACACAAAGATGAATATGAAATTGAATTTGTGTCTGTATGGAGAAGTGATAACTCGGGACCATGCTATTCTCAAAAAAAGAAATTTTACTTGTATTATGTTTTGTGAAAACCCAAATAAAATGTTTATAAAAAAGAAGAAGAAGAAGAAACACCGCAGCCATCATAAATATGAGTCAGCTTCCAAGCTCCTGAATTTTGATCAAGTGACCGACCACGGGGATGTGGCAATAGCCATAAATGTGAAAAAGGGTCGTAAGTCAATTTTTTCGGTGCTGTTATAACTTTGAATGATCGCTAAACGAACCCTTGTAAGTCGAGGACTTGGCTTTAAAAAGAATATGCTTTCTTTGCCGCCTTGCCCTGCCCTGCCCTTGTGCGTGTACCTTTTCTTCGCGGTGTCTCCTCTCCTGCTCTTCAAGGCGCTGGACCTCGGCGAGTTCTGCTGCCCGCATTTCCAGGAAAGCGTACTGATGTGCCCGCAGATCGGCCAGTTCCTCTTCCTCCATCACCTCCAGCAGAGCCTGCTCGATTGTTTTGCCCACCAAGACTTCCAGCATGGGCCGGACTTCGATATCAAAGTCAAAAAGCTGAAAAGCGGGACGCGGGAAACATTTATTCGATTCTACACATTTCTTTTCCCCAAAAGTTCCTGTGAAAATTTTGAGAGAACCCCCCCCCCTCCCCGGTAGGCTGCCCAAAATCACAGTGGGAAGCATCTTCCCCTTAACAGCCACACGATGGGGGTCCAGGATCTTGATTGTTGAACAAAATGTGATTGTTAAGCGAGACACCTTGTGACGGCTTCGCTCAACGACTGCCGTCCTGGTGTCAGCTTTGGAAGCCTGATTAGCTGGAGCCTGGGAAAATGGGAGGGGGGAATTTCTTGGAGTGAAGACAGAATAGCATTCTTTTTCTAAGTCAAGGTCATGTTATCTCTGCACCTGGGTGAGAGGACATCTCAAGTTGGGACGGATGGTGACTGGGGCTTGTGGTGGAATGTAGGGGTGCAGGACGGTGGTGGGATTCAAAACATTTTACCACCGGTTTGGTAGGCATGGCTTGGTGGGTGCGCTTTGTGTGCATGCACACACTTTGTGTGTACCTGTGTGCCAAACTCGCACTTTCTGTCATCTGCACCTCTATAACTGTCTGGTTTGGTTCTGCAACCCAACAGGACAGACACAGACCCCAGAGGATAATTAGGACTGCAGAAAAAACAGTTACTACCAACCTGCTTTCCATGGAGGACCTGTATCCTGCGCAAAGTCACAAAGAGGGGTGTGAAAATATCTACGGACCCCTCACATCCTGGACATAAATTGTTTTAACTCCTTCCCTCAAAACGATGCTATAGAGCACTGCACACCAGAAGAACTAGACACAAGGACAGTTTTTCCCCCAACGCCATCACTCTGCTAAAGAAATAATTCCCTCCACACTGTTCAATTATTTACAAAGTCTGCACTACTATTCCTATTAATCTTCTCATCACTCCTTATCACCCATCCCCTCCCACTTGTGACTGAATGACTGTAACTTTGTCGCTTGTATCCTTACGATTTATATTGACTGTTTCCTAGTATGATTTGATTGCTTATTGTACCCTCTGACTATCATTAAGTGTTGTACCTGATGATTCCTGACTCTTTGACGAATGTATCTTTTTCTTTTATGGACACTAAGAGCATTTGCACCAAGACAAATTCCTTGTGTGTCCAATCACACTTGGCCAATATGGAATTGAATTCTATTCTATTCTATTCTATTCTATTCTATTCTATTCTATTCTATTCTGTTCTGTTCTGTTCTGTTCTGTTCCGTTCTATTCTATTCTTATTGTACCCTCTGATTATCATTAAGTGTTGTACCTGATGATTCTTGACTCTTGAAAAATGTATCTTTTCTTTTTATGTAGACTGAGAGCATTTGCACCAAGGCAAATTCCTTGTGCGTCCAATCACTCTTGGCCAATACAGAATTCTATTCTATTCTATTCTATTCTATTCTATTCTATTCTATTCTATTCTATTCTATTCTATTCTAATCTAATCTGTTCTGTTCTACTCTATTCTTTGCGTAGGCTCAGAGGCATTCCAACTCACCTCCTGCAAGCCTGCACTCTCCCGGTTGCTTCGGCAGCTGCCGCGCAACACTCAGCTGAGCCGCGCGAAGCAGCTGCACTTCAAATTCAGCAGATCAAGGTGAGTGAGTGAGCCCAGGCAGGCAGGTGGGCCCAACAGCGGAGCAGTGGAGAGAACCGCTTTGGTCTCTGCTGCTCATCGCTGCTACTGGCTCGGCCAAACTGGGCCGAACTGGTAGAATACCACCACTGGTGCAGGGGGTGGATTTGTCATATTTTACTTATTGGAGGGAAACCCAGAACTTTCAGATTCGGGTTTTCCCCGATGTGCCAGTATAACTACTCTAATAAAAGGAAACCTTGAGAAGATGTCTGTCTCGGAGTTGTAGGTTGGAGTGGAGGCTTTCGGACACCTGGCTTTCCCAGCGGCGGTCGTTAAGTGACCGCGTGGGCCTTTTAAGCGGAGCTCCGGGCAGAGAGGCCTGGGCCTCTTGGCACCCCAGCCCTCTCCCCATTTGAGTCGTGGTGAATTTGAGCCACGGCGGCGCAGGGGTTAGGATACGGCATTGCAGGCTAACTCTCCCCACCGGCAGCCGTTCGATCCTGAAAATATCTTGCACGGACTTGATTTGGTTACCGCACGGGTGTCGCACTCGATCCCGTCGCGTGATGTCACGGGGCATAGGGGGGGGGGGGTTTTGCCCCAGTGGGGGGGGGGGGGGGGGTGGGCGTGGCCTGTCCGTGATGCATCTGGCTCATGGGCCGCCTGTTTGACCACCCCACCCCGGGTTACAGTGGGGTGGACAGCCAGGGATGGTTAATGTCACCCTTCAAGATTTTCTTCCTTTGCTTCGCCTCTTTCGGCTGTCATAAGTAACGGGGGGAGGAGGGGGTGGACGTGGTTGTGGGAAGCGAGCTGGAGGTGTTACAAAACAGAACCGTATAAATTGCTTAGGCTTCTACCCTACATGATGCTATAAGCAACTTTTTATTGGATGAGCCAATTGAACTATTGGGGTTGAGAATGTTGCCATCATTTTGTATCAGCGGTGGGATTCAATTTTTTTTTTTTACTACCGGTTCTGCGGGCATGGCTTGGTGGGCGTGGCAGGGGAAGGAGACTGTAAAAATTCTCCAGCCAGAGGTGGGATTTGCCGGTTCTGCAAACTACTCAAAATTTCCGCTACCGGTTCTCCAGAACTGGTTAGAACCTGCTGGATTCACCACCTTCTGCTTTGTATATGTGATTTACGCGCCCATTTTCTCAGATTCAGAATTCTTTCGTTGCTACCGCTTGATTTCCAGTAAAAGGTATCTTTTCTCTGATTAATGGAGTGTAAGTATTTCTTTCTTGGATTTTGAACGGAGCACCAGCTGACATTTAAGGAGGAAAGTACAACTTAAGGATTTGCGCGTGGGATGATCAGTTCTGGCTTTGCATCCCTGCTAAGCACCCCTGACCGCTCCTAAAACTACGCCTTTCTCAATGAACGGAGCTAAGGATAGTTTCTATTTAGTCTAAATTTCTACTTAGTTTCTCCTTAAAGGTTTTAAGTGGTGGCCCTTTTCGGAAACTGGTACCTCTCCTTCCCATATCTGTGTGGCCACGTCTCTGCCAGTCTTTGCGGGGATGAAGAGTGGCGTGGCTGGCCGGTCCAGGAAAGCATCCGTTTGACACTCCACATCCACCTCGATGATGCGGTCTGACAGCTCCTCCAGGTACAATTCTGAAATTGCATTCGGAGAGCTGTTACACTCGGTCCTTAACATTCAACGAAAAGACATTCCTGTTTAAGCACTGCAAAGAAGACATGAGTGTGTGTGTGTGTGTGTGTGTGTGTGTGTGTGCATGTGCCACTTATGAGAGAGAGAGAGAGAGACAGAGAGAAAGAAAGAGACAGAGAAAGAGACAGAGAATAGAATAGAATAGAATAGAATAGAATAGAATATAGGATTAAAGTAGAATAGAATATAGGATTAAAGTAGAATAGAATATAGGATTAGAATAGAATAGAATAGAATAGAATAGAATAGAATAGAATAGAATAGAATTAGCATAGAGTAGAGTAAAATAGAATAGAGTAGAGTAGAGTAGAATAGAATTAGAATAGAGTAGAGTAGAGTAGAGTAGAATAGAATTAGAGTATAGTATAGTAGAGTAGAATAGAATAGAATTAGAGTAGAGTAGAGTAGAGTAGAGTAGAGTAGAGTAGAGTAGAGTA